ATAATGTCTTTGTTGTTTATCAGCTTGATCTTAGACTGCAAATATGAGAGAAATCTAACCTGTCAGTGGGGTAAAATTATTCAAAGAAAAAAAAAACTTATACTTTTTTTTTTTCTCAAAAACACAGGTGTCACAATTATTGGCACCCCTATAAATTCCTATGAACAAAATCTAATTAGCATGCTGTATATTCCCATTCATATTTGACCTTTTTTAAGCACACCTGAGTCTTTAGTAATTCTTAAGTGGTCATCCACGACATTCTGTTTCACTGGGGTATAAATATGAGGTAACATGCAGGCCAAACACCCTTAGTTATCCATCAACATGGGGAAGACCAGAAAATACACAAATGAAATGAGACAAAAGGTTGTTGACCTTCATAAATCAGGCAATGGCTGTAAAAAAAATAGCTTCACGCCTGAAAATACCCATCTCCACTATTAGGGCAATAATTAAGAAGTTTTAAACAGCTGAAGCTCTGATGAACCTGCCTGGAGGTGGACGCAAGTGTATTTGGCCCCCAAACACAGTGAGAAAAATGGTTCAAGAGGCAAAACCTTCTCCAATGATCACAGTTGGACAATTGCAGGAGTTGGCTGCATCCTGGGGTCACCAAGTGTCCACAACTACAATTAGATGCCACATCCATGCCAACAAACTATTTGGAAGGCTTACCAGAAGAAAGCCTCTGCTGTCATCAAACCACAAACATAAGAACCTGAAGTTCGCTAAACATCACTGGAACTCAGATTGGAACCGGGTTCCATGGTCAGATGAGGCAAAAATAGAGCTTTTTGGCAACAAACACCAGAGGTGGGTTTGGCATAAAAAGAGTCAAGGCAATGCAGAAAAGTGAAATATGGTGGTGGATCTGTGATATTGTGAGGCTTTTTATCTTCCAAAGGCCCTGGGAATCTTGTTAGGATACATGGCATCATGGATATTAAATACCAGGAGATTTTAGATCAAAATCTGCCGGCCTCTGCCAAGAAGCTGACTGGGTCTGACTTGGTTGGATCTTCCAGCAGGACAATAATCCAAAGCAAACCTCCAAATCCACACAGAAATGGTTCACTGACCACATAATCAAGCTTTTGCAGTGGCCATCCCAGTCCCCTGACCTAAACCCCATTGAAAACCTCTGGGGTGAGCTGAAGAGGAGAGTCCACAAGCGATGACTCTGAAGGACCTGTAGAGATTTTGTATGGAGGAATGGTCTCAGATCCCTTAATGTGTTGTCCCACCTCATCCAGCATTATAAGAGAAGACTCAGTGCTGTTATCTTGGCAAAGAGAGGGTTCATAAAGTACTAAATGCAGGGGTGCCAATAATTGTGACATGTGTGTTTTTGAGAAAAATGTTTATTTTCTTTATAAGGATTTTTTTTCTTTGAATAATTTTACCTCACTGACAGGTTAGATTTCCCTCATATTTGCAGTGTAAGATCAAGCTGACAAACAACAAAGACATTTTTTCGTAGCCTTTTTTGCTCATCTTGACCAAAGGTGACAACAATTCTGCAGGGCACTGTATAAGGATAAAGTTTTTATATCTGTGCATGGGAACAAGTAATAGGTTTATTCCATGCTGAAAAAAAGAAGAAAGAGAACACAACGTTTCGGCCGTGGAGCCTTCTTCAGGTGTCACACCTGAAGAAGGATCCACGGCCGAAACATTGTGTTCTCTTTCTTCTTTTTTTCAGCATGGAATAAACCTATTACTTTTTCCTTTGCAGGCAACGCATGCTGACGCAGCTACCCACCTGAACTACTATATTTGTGCATGATGGGCACAAAAGATTGATTTAGCACTAAAGATATCACATACTGTAGTGGATTTAAATGACAAAAATCTAACTATGCTATATTCAATTTTAATGGCATTGTTGTTTGGAGTAAAATAATTGTTTAAGGACAGAGCAATAACAATGAAGAAAGAAGGAGAGAAAAGAAAAATATAATAATAAAATATAAAATATAAAATATAAAATATAATAATCGAATATTTATTTCTCCCCGCATTGTTAAAGGTCAACACTGTGAGAATTTTACTGTTTATAAGAGTTCATCCTGCAGGTGGCATGGTAGTACAGTGGTTAGGATTGCAGCCTCACAGTGCGGAGTGTGGATTTTATATGGTATGTTCTTGCTGTGTTCAATTGGGTTTCCTCTGGGTGCTCCAGTCTCCTCCCACAGTTCAATGACATACTGGTAAGTTAATTGACTTCTTCGAAAAATTGGCCCTGGTATGAGTGTATGCATGTTTGTGTCTCTGAGTGCCCTGGAGTGGACTGGCATCCCATCCAGGGTGTATCCTATCTCACATCCATTGCTTGCTGGAAAAGGGTCTAGAATCCTCCCAATCTTGGATAAAACAGTTAGAAAATGGTTGGATGGACAGTTTGAACTCTGTCAAACGTGAGAGACTTACTGCATATGTTAAAGCCACAACATTCCAAGGAATGCGGTTATATTCCCTGGTGCTTGGATCTCTCACCCTGTTGCACACTCCATTAAAGAACTCATTATTAAATGGATTGGCTCTGGGATGTGACCCTAAAATATTGATGCTGTGAAGAAAAAAACAGTATTTTCATGAAAAGCAATACTCTTTTAAATAAACTTTTACACACAATTATGAATACTATATTTTTGTATAACATAACATAACATCACGTTATTAGCCCTATACAATTTCTTGCATTGGGAATTCATCTTTTCGCATACCCCAGCTTGCTCTCCATGAGACACAGACATATCAACAATGTATTTTAGGACAAGCGACTGCTGTTTGTTTTGCATAAGAGCTTTTGCCAGAAGATGATGAGTCCTTGCTTTCAGGCCATATTGACTGTAAAGTAAGCATACCCATATCCTGCTGTTCTTCCTAGTTCTGACAAATCCACAAGTGATTTTCCACAAGGAGGGCGATGTGGTTCTTCACAGTCCTCATCAGACAAATCCCCACAGTCATTGTCTCCATTGCACTCCAGCCTCTTTTTAATGCAGGTGCCTACATTAAACAAAGCATCTATTCATTGGGAAACTACAACAAGACACAATGAAAAGACTTTGCAATCCATATTTTAGTGCTACACCATGTTTTGTTTGAATAATCTCTTATGTCCAATCAGGGATTTTAGAACTAATTTTTATTATGGTAAGCGTGCTGCCCATGCTTCAGGCCCTACTCACCAGAGATGAGGGGTTATAACTAGACTGACCTTGATGTTTAGGTAACTACTTCATTTCAAGGCTTATTTTAATGTCACATCGTATACTTTTAAGTCTATTTATAGGTATGGAAAGACATTTTTTGTTGCTTTCTGTGTCTATTCAATATTTTTACATACTGTACATTTTAGATTTCTATTTTTGCTTTGAGATTAAGAACACAAATGTAAAAGGAAATGAGGAATTCAGAAACACACAGGAGAGCATGTGGTCACCCACAAAAAGGAATACCCCAATGTCCAAACCCATTCAGGAAATCCATCCAACCACTGTCAGAAAGCCACTTGTTCTGATAAAACTTTAGGCAACCTAAAGCCTAGTCTGGAAGCTTAGGGTGCAAAGAAGCATTGAGAACACCCTGTATGGGATTCCAGTCAGCCACAGAGAAAGGAAAAAATATTAAATAAACAGCTAAATATTGCCAGCATACCTTTAGGAGGTTGGAAGATTCTGGAGGACCCATTGAAACATACTATGAAGAACATACAAACTCCATACAAAAGAACCCCTGTCCATAATTGGAACCTGGACTTAAGCGCAAACTTTTCTTTAGCGTATTTTTGCCAAGGACATTTGTTAGAAATTCTGACTTACCTGATTCACACCTAAATTCTGTTTCTGAACATTCTGGCTGAACTCTGTCACATGCATCATCGGTTGTGCAGGCTTTTTTCTGTCCCAGTGGTTCAAAGCAAGTCTGTCCTCCAAACTGTCCAAACACTTCTACACTCCTAGCACGAAACTGGCAATAACAACAAAGAGTAAGGTTTCCCTGACCATGACACTCTAAAATTGTTGACTGCAGTTTTGCTTATTTTTTTAATGACATTTTTACAGTACAAGCTCAAATACACAAAAGGCTGGTTCTCGTGTTATGATGTTAAGAGGAAAAGACATGAATGAATATGGTTTCAGATCCATTGTTGCTTCTACTATTGTACAGTTTACTATATAGTACATGTAATTTTGACACAGTACTACAAATCACACATTTTCTCTCTCTCACCATTTGTTTTGAACAAGGGTCACATTTGCTCCATGGTGACCAGGTGCTTAATTTGCAGTCCACTTGAGCTGGGGCACCAACCTCTCTTGCCATCCGCTGTAATGGCTTGGAATTGTCCCTGAAAAACCGAAAGGGCAAATCTGTTCATACTAGTGTACATGCATCTAAACACAAAATACACCAAGGATGTGTCCTGGTTTAACTGCAGAATGAAAGGACAGTAAAATATCAGAACAACATAAAGTACTGTACATACTGCCAAGATAGTATTTAAACTCTATTAACTATCAATTAAAGAAATAGTGTCTATTAAAACTATATGTCTTATTCAGATAATAGAAACTATTTCTTGACAGTTGTTCACTCTAGAATAAACTTCTGTATATTTTAAAAAGTGCTATTGGAGAGTTTTATATTTCCATTTAATAAATTATACATATAAAATGAAACATTATCAAACTAACACATTTTATGTATTTTCAAGACCGAACTACATACGTACATGAAGTCACCTCCATCAACAAGAATAATGCCTTGTAGAAGGCAAAGAATTACACTCAGAACAGCCAGGGTCTTCATGTTTTGCTTGTGTCTGCCTGCAGCACACAAAAGGTGTCTCTATATTTAAAGAGAGGAGCTCTTGGAATGATTAACCAGTGTTAAAGATCAGAGGTAAATATTGCAAAAGCAGATAAAGCAACATGGTAGTTTTTGAAAACCTTTGGGAGTTGGAGAGCACACTGAAAAAAAGTAAATTAAACAACTGAAAGTGTTTCCACATTCAAAATAACTGCTAATATCTTCAAGACAGCCATCTGATATTGGCTGCATGAAATTAGTTTTCATGATGATATTGAAAACCAATATCATGAAAAAAGCACAGTAAAAAATGAAAAAATAATGATCCACAAATTTAACAAGAACCTGTTCTGTAGTCTGATAACACAGTTTTGATCTTTTGGGGTCTTAAAATACTGTTAAAAAAGACAGAAAGAGTGTTGAGGCCTTTTTTGTTTGAAATACAATTTTGAAAGTAATATTCTTTGTGTATTTTTTGTATTTTTAATAATTTTGTTAAAAAATGTATTACTGTTTTTCGTCTTCAATAGTTTTTCATGTTTTGGACAAAATTGGGAAGATCCTGTTTTTCAACTAAAGGTTCATCTTTTGAGCCGATGTATCTTTCATTTTAATTTTCTAAAGAAATTATATAGATTCCATTTGGAGATTATGGAGCTGTTAATTATAATGTCGTGATCTCTGTTTTAATCTTTTCCTCAGCTTTATTATACATTAAATATCTTTAATACTGTAAATTAAAGCAAATAAATTGTTTTTGTTTTCAAGCTAAGAAAATTTTTGCCCAATTAATCTGATGTACTGTGTTTTTAATCATTTACCATGGAGTGTAATTTAAAAGCAATTTACAAAACCTTTTGAAGGTGGGATTTACCTATTATCTCCATTATAAGCTGTTCAGGTCCACCTTTAGTTATTGTTTTCATGGAAAAATACCAGAAAATGAAAGTACTAATGTGACAAGAGAAGCCACTGATGGTTGCACTCGTACTGTAAATGTGTATTGGAAAGAAAGAAAAACAAATATTTACTTTGTCTGTAGACGTTGCTATTTTGTCAATAGTTTTAGCCAAAAGACAAAGTTCTGTTACACCGTCCACAAAACATTTTGGTCTTTATTAATTTTCAGAATGCTTCATTAAAGAAATGTAGAGTAAGGGAGTTCTAAAACAGGACTTAAAAGTGATGACTGACTTGCAAAATCTAATCTGGGTTTGGAGATCATTCTCAACTCTAGGAGTAACAGAACAGAAAGCAAGGCCTCCACCTTTAAGGAGCCTCAAAGCTAACTGAAACAAGGTCAGAGTCCAAAAAGTGCAAACAATATGTAGGTGTATGGGGTAACAGTTCACTCAATAGTCAGGAGCCAAACCATACCAGCCTGAAAAGATGAACTGCAGTATTTTGAATTTTATTCCAAAATCCACTTAGAGTCAATGTAAGGAAGCTGAATTAGCTGATACTGTAAAAACAAAGATCCAAGCAGCTGAGTTCTGAACATTCTGCAACTTGTTTAGAGCATATCTTTGAATAAACCAGAAAGCACTGCATTACAATTATAAAGCTTGGGAAAGGAAAAACATTAGCTTTTCTGCATCAGATTGTGTAAAAACGTGAGATCAGAAAGAAACAGACACGTTCACACACTAGTGAACATGAGCTACATATAGTAAGAAAGGTTGAGATCAAAGATACTGTAATACCAAAATTCCTGACCTGGGTAATTGGACTAGTTTCAGAACTATCAGTAGTCGAACTATAGACAAGAAGTACCAGTCAGCATGAACATTAAACAATTTTTTAGTATCATCTAAGCAATGTGACAAGGAAGATAGTGCTTGATATGTGTCAAGAAGTGCTAGATCTTGTCACCAGCACAAGAATGAGTAGTGAGGCCACACAGTACCTATGAAGATGCTAGATGCCAACTTCGTGAAGGAGAAACAATAACCAAATTAGTTTCTAACACTCATCATTTTAACCACAATAAAGCACTTCCAGTTATTACGACTCGCCAATCTATTCAGCAAGATGGTACTGTATGATTAAAAGTTTCAAAGCAGCACTAAGTTTCCAGCAAGACAAAACGGATAAAGAATGGATAAGAAACTAGGGTTGGCTGCCATTTATTATCATTAGCAGATCATATACAACCTTAAGAGAGTTGTTTTTTATATGAACCCAGGCTGATATGACTCATGCAACTTATTGGCAGATACAATAAGTGAACTTGAAGATAAGTAGCAATAGACAATTTTCTCCCACATGCCAGAATTGGGAAGCTACAGTAGAGATTGGCCAATATGTACTAACCTCGGTGGTATGTAAAGTTTGTAATAAACTTTTTGTGATTAAGCCAAAACTATTTAGGACAGCACAGATGTCTCCTGAAAAAGAACAGAGTGCAGAGTCAACATTGATATCAAATCTATTACAAATTAAGGTCCTTCTTAAATCAGGCACAAGGGAATTAAAAAAAATATACAAAAAGGCCTATATAAAAAGCACCATTGTTAACTTCAGTGCCATGCATTCAAATTATTTAAAATTGGCATGGGAAATAGTATCAAAGAAGTGTTAGGTTGATTTACAGCTACCTTCCCACCTCCTCGATCAGATGCACAGGGTTTCTCTTAATAAGGGTATCCAGAGGGAGGAACCTAATTTAGCAATGTCATTTTGATGATGCCAAGTTTCAGTTCAACATAAAAGGTCTGGACTTTTCTCAGTAATCAGTTTGCTCAATAGTAATGCCTTGTTGGTCATGGAGTGAGCACTAAATAATGCTGCTTTAACAGAGTCAGAACTTGCACATGATAACAACATTAGAAAGGCAGTGTGAATGCTTAAATCAATACCACGCTGTTCTAGTAAATTAAAGGACCTACAGTAACTGTCTAAAAGGAACTGATATTACCATTTAACTCTGTATTGTAATAAAAACCAGAGCATTTAAGCACATATCTGAACTTGCATGTTAACAGAAAAACAACATTCATTTTATACTGAAAATGTCACAATTTAGTAAGACTAAGGCATTCCAAACTCAGAGATACTGTATATTGTACAGTCCACCTCTGCACCACAAATCTCTGATATACAGGAATCCACAGTGGCATTCATATACAATTAATAGATCTCATTCCCATCGATATGCATTCTTATGGAGGTGAAATAATCTCAGAATCTCGGTCACCCTTTTGTAATTTAAAGATTGCTGGTCTTAAACACAGCTGGCTGCTAGTCATTCATCTATTCTACTGTTATGAACAGAGGACGTTTCTTCAGATTTCCACAAGGTGGCAATGTGGGCCAACACCAGTACTATCAAAGTAATCTCTAGAATGTGAAACGGATTTAGTTCTTGAAACTTTGGACTCTGTTTTATGACAAGTGAAAGGGTTTAGGTACCCAAGGATAAGTTGCTTTCCATACCAAAAATACTCATGCTGGGCAATTACAGCGATGGTTTTAAAGAACAAGAGGTTTTAAACATTTTAAAAATGTACAGATTAAAGATTTTAGAATTGGAGTAACGTTTTAGAACCAAGATCAATAAGTTTCGAATTAATCCAGTTCCAACTACTTTGTGCATATCATGTCTAGAGCTAATTAAAACAGAAGGTGTAGTTCTGTATAGTAGTTCGCAATTCTTTTCTTAAGGTGTACTGTGACATTGTACCATGTATAAATTTAGTATATTTAGTGTTTAACTCTAGGTTATGATTAAGTGGATTCATCTCTTCTTCATGTAATCTTTTGGCCACATCAATCTTCAATCCACCATTTTAAGACTCAAAATAACAAAGTATAAGTAAAAGGGGTAGCTATTTTCTATTTGCAATAATCTCCTAAATTTGTCCATTCTGAGTATTTTGTTCTCTCCACTCCTCACAAACCACACTAGCTGATGTGATCAATTTTTAGAAAATTCCTTAAGATTCCTAAACCCTGGCTACTTTCAAGATGCAGCTGGATGAGATCTTCAGATCAATTGCTATAGTTACCAACAATAAATCTAAAGACCTAAATTTGCTGAACATCTTCCTGTAATTTGTAGCCCTTATTATTTACATTTTCTTATGATTTCCTTATGTAGCTGCATCTTGACTACAATACCAAGTGTAGACATTAGCCTCATTTAGCATAAATATGGTTTAAATGCCTAGTGTAGAGAAGGCATCATAAACAATGATTTTTTTTGAGTGAATACTGTAGTTGATTCTTGGGAGGAAGGGTGGAGTGAACATTATGTTGGTTGTCTGGGAGTGGGGGGATATTTCGTCTTTCCTGAAAATATTTTTTATACAAGGGAAATTATTTATTTTTATAACATGGTAGACACTTCATGGGGGAACAAACACTGGTTCCATCCATTCCTTCCATATTGTAATAATGTCTTCCAATTCAGGGTCATGGAGGAGTGGGAGCCAATCCCAGCAAGCCATGAGTGCAACGCAGGGTACACCTTAGACAGGATGCCAGTGCATTGCAAGGTACAAACAGGCACACACTTACACCTTGGGCTCAATTTCCCTGAAGCCACTTAACCTACCAGTATGTTTTTGTGGGGGGAAACCGAAGCAGCTGGAGGAAACCCACATAAACGCAGCAAGCACATACAAACTCCACACAGAGAACACCCCAGGTCCAGAAATGAACTCAGGGCCCCAAGGCTGCAAGACAGCAATACTGCAACCTCCGTGCCACCCTACACTGGTTACCATAGATGTAAAATTAATCTCACAGGAATCTTGACCAAATCTGTTAATCATATAAACATTAACTTTATAACTTGAAGTCATTTTAATTCCTTGCCTTTGGTGACGGTAAGATTTCACTTTTACTTTAAAACCCTCACATCATATCACTTACTTATCAATAACTGCTTATCCAAAAAGGGGGTCACAGTGGCCCAGAGCCAATCCCAGGAAGCATGGGGCACAAGGCATGATACACCAGGGTATACATACATACAAAAACACATAAATTGATCAATTTTCAAGGAAGCCAATTAACCTACCAGCACATTTTT